GATTACGATCATGTATACCAAAGGTCCAAGTAAACCATCATATTTTTGGGTTTCAAGTCCCGTAGATTAGCTATTTACAATCCCATTATGAATTCGTTCATATTTATGCTAGGTTTTCTCCTTCCTCCTCCTTTCTCATTAGGGTGGATGATCTCATTGAAATCTCCCCCAACAATCCAAGGCAAACTAGACATTCCAACGAGGCTACTCAAGAGATCCCAGTTTTCCTTCTTTCTCGTACTAGCACACCAAACCAGTGAAGCGGAATTGATGCGTATTCGAAGAGACATCTACTTTAGTCCTAATCTTCTCAGTTTTATTCTTCATAATCCTATATTCAAAAATGAAAACAAGCTTTGGGCCCTTTTTAGCAATGATTCTTTTAAGCTCTTGAACTGTCGTCGGGTTCCCAAGCTTGCGATAGTTCTAGACATGGCTATCATGGCGATCGGTGAGGCTGCTCGACAGCCACCGTCATTTGATCAATTAAGTCTCCCCCATCTAATAGAGGTTTAGCTAGATCATTTTCCTCAATGTTCTCGGCTCATGAGTTCATAATAGTCGTAGTGTTCGAAAAATCACCTTTTCCATGTGCTTTCTTGTTTATTTTCTTTCCACTATGTTTCTCTCTACTTTTCCTCTCACCATTGCTCATCGAAACCAAATCAACCATCACTTGTTGTTGGGGTTGATCAACTTGGACACTTTCTCCATTATGCGCTCCCAGTTCACCTTTTTGGATCGAGTTCTCTTCTTTGATGGTTTTCTTTCTGCATTATTACCAACTTGGGGGAGAGGTTGCTCGATCCCTCTACGGGCAAGATGGATCGAACTCGAGAGGTTCAAATAGAGCTTCTAAGTGAAGAGTTATGTTCGATCGAAGAATCCACGACTTGGTCCACATAAAGCATCATGTCTTTTTTCCCATTGGTTCCTCTTGCTTGGACCCTTTTTGTCTTAGATACCTTAAATTATTCCATTTCCAATCGGTCATTCCATCACATATCTTCTTGCAGCCGACTTCTTTCTCAAGTAGCGTGTATTTTTAAAAATGGCCAAGATAGCTTGTACCACCTAATTTGTCATCTTATCTTTTTTGTTGTTTCGGGTAACCTTCGGCAAAGTACACTTACTCATCATAGCGGCATTTTTATCCAAAAATATCTTAAAATGAATTAATTATTAGTCAGACATTGTTTTAAAAAAATTTACCGATCTAACATTCTTTGTAGAAATATACGAATGATAATTCGTGCCTTACCCTGATGTGACGTCACGTAATGAAAGAAGTAAATATAATACAATTTAATAAAATACTAAATATTTTTACTTTCTAAATAAAATTTGACCGGGTTTAAACTTTAAGAGAGTTTGAGCTTTAAGATAGTTTGGGTTGTGAGATGGTTTGAGAGGATTTGAAAAATTGGTATTTGTATAAAGAAATAAGAGGTATTTATAGGGATGGGAGATGTGTTTGACCGGATGGGTAATTAATGGAGGAGATGTAAACAGCTGAAAATTAATTGAAAAGTGTGGACAGTGCTGTCAGGGTGATTTTTGAGTAAAAACGCCCATCATAGCATCCGGTTGGTGAGATTGACACGGTAAGTTGATTTTTTACTGTCCTTGATACCTTGTTGAACTATCCATTTTCGGCCAGCTACAAACCGCCATCAACTTACCGAACAAGGTAATTTTCCTTTTCCCGGTGAATCGGCAAAGCTTTCTACGGTCTAACAAGGAGTGGACTTTCTTTCTTCTCCGGTTACTTCGCCACCAAAGACCTCACCCGTCTTGTTGTCTTTTTCTTTTATGAAGGTTTATAACAACTAATTTGCTCTCGTGGAAGGGTTTTTTTTTTTACTATTCTGCCTCATTTTAGAACACCCCTTAATTCTTATATTCACCATTTTTTTCCTCGTTCTTTTTAAACTGCCTTTGAGAACATTCTTCCCCTCTCTCTTATCGATCTAGATGAATGGAATCTCTAGAGCAAGTCTAAAAAAACATCGAATGAAATGAGTTATATCCAGAGTAAAACTTACCTTGTCTTGAAATCCTCCAGTGAGACCAGCGGAAATTGGAAGAATGGCTTGGAGAACAAGGGTTAAATGTAATTGCACCTTTGAAGGTTTGAACTTTGCTCTAGGTCTGTGGAATATCCTATTCGGTTTGGATCTTTTGAAAACACAATCTAATGAGAAAGAACAAAAAGGAATAACTTGAACCTTATTTTTACCAACAAAATGAAGCCGATTTGAAGCACGAGATCTATCGCTAGATCTAGATCTGAATCTACCCCATCCATGACCATTGTTATGATCTTCGTTCTCCTTGTAGGACGATCTAATCAAAGAGAAGAACTTAGAGAGAAACAAGTAAACGAACCGAACGCACACGAACAGATGTATGTTCATGTTTGTTCATTTAATAAATTAACGAACATAAACGAACACGAACATAAACGAATAAATTTTTTTTTGTTCATGATCGTTTATTAAAGAATATAAATTGTTCATGTTCGTTCATTTAATAAATAAACGAACACGAACATAAACGACCGAACATAAATGAACCGAACATAACGTTGGAGACCTTACCTTCCATTGTTCTTTCATGAAAAATATCGATAAGCAAATCACCAAATCAACAGTGATAATAGCGTAAGAGCTTATTAGTAGTGATGAAATGTTTGAAGATATCAAATATTTCGATCGATCTTTTAAAGATATTAAATGATTCACACGACTTTAATTTAACGTTATAACATTTATCTTAGTGGTCCATTATTACATATGAACAATCATTTTCCGCTATTACACTCTTTTTCAGAAATTGCATAGAAACATTTGTTTTGTTTTCTGGTAAATTCTATATATTTTTCTCTTTACTGATGCTCATAACTTCCGATTGTTACATCTTCCATCTATTTCTAGAAAGAAGTATTATTTCTTGAGTTTTGATGTGAAGATACCCGCAATAACTTTACATATCAACTATTAAGTCAAATAAAACAGAGAAAGATGAAAACATACCTGTAAAACTTCATATTGCAATATAATATAACTTGTTTTTGAAGCTTTCAGAGATCGTCTCCACTCTCCAGTGAATACTAAGGTTTGGGGAAAAAAGGGGGAAAATGAATATAAGTGTGAGGTGCCTCATAGGTTAACATATTGGATTTAAATCACAGGGGGAAAATGAATATAAGGTTAATTATGGAGTTGATCATCAGAATATCAGATTAATATTTTTAAGATACTTACAAATTGGTCACCAAAATTTGATTTAAGAAGATTGGGTTAAACATAAATGAATGAACATAAACGAACATAATCGAACGAACATAAACAAACATAACCGAACGTTCACGAACGTAAATGAACGAACGAGACCTATGTTCATATTCGTTCATTTAATTAAACGAACAAAAAATCTTGTTCATGTTCGTTCATTTAATAAATAAATGCACATAAACGAACTTCCCGCCGCACGGTTCATGAACGGTTCGCTGAACGTTCAGTTCATTTACAGGTCTACGTCAATCCTTTAACTAATGAATTAATAAAAAGATTAATAGAACATATACTCTTAAATTACCATCAAAATTTTAAATTAATCCCAATATTTAAAATAGTTCAATTGAAATATAATTATCTTACTATTTTAATCATCAAATGTAAACTCAAAATTTTAAGACATGCACGTAAAAGTGAGTTTATTGCATCATATTTTCTCAAATTATAACTCTCATTTTAATTTAGTCCTTAAATTTTTAAAATGTTTAAATTCCATCCTTCAATGATGACTATCATTCTAAATTAACTCTCAGGCTCTTAAGCATTCCAATTTCGTACCTAAACTATGACTCATTCTAAGTTGATCCCTAAACTTTTTAAATATTCCAATTTTATCATAAACTATTCATATATACTAATCATGTCCTTGTCAATAAAATCATTAGACCAAGTTATATTATTTTACGTTTGAAGAAAAAAAATTAAGTTAAACCATAATTAAAACTAACTACACATTTGGATGAAATTGAAATGTTCAAAAGTTTAAGAACCAATTTAGGTAGTGTATCATAACTTAGGGATGACATTAAAATATTCAAACATTTAAGAACTAATGTAGAATGAGTCATAACTAAGGGATGAAATCAGAATATACAAAAGTTCAAAGACTGATTTAAACTGGGTGTTAAAGTCTAGAGACATGATGCAATCAAATCCATAAAAATTAAAAGCTATATTATATTTTTGTTAAAAGAACCAGAAAGTGCATATTATGATTTTAAAATATCAGACGCAACATTAAGACTGAAGAGATATGAGTAGGGGGTGGGGGGGAAGAATAGGTAGTGCAAAAGCTATATAAGAGTGATTCCAGACAATAAGCCGTGTCCACACACCATGGAATCATGAATCAACAAGGGCTGGACGAAAGGAGAATTATGTTCCTCCGCACATCCAGCTCCTTGTCAGTTGACAAAATAACTTTGTCATCTCACTTGCCCTCAGAAAGGCAAGCTTTGGATGGTGCTTGAGTCCCATTTTTTTTAATTAATAGAAACGGTTCTCAATATAAATAATATTATAATACTTCAGCGGTTCCAAACCATAGAGAACCGGAGTTAAACAATAGTAAAATGGTTCAAACAAAAGCAAACTTTAGCCATGTATGTAATCCGGCATAATTGGTACACTTCAAACAACTTTAAATAAAATTTCATAGGATCTCCATCAGCCAACTCCGCAAGGTAACCTACCTGTCAAATGAAATAAGACAATTGCAGATAAATGGATGATCAAGAATTGGTCACCAATATTAGCCCTACTTTACCAATGAAATCAGCATTTCTTTTTTTCATTTGGCATGTAATGAAATCAATATTACAGAACCTGGATAAACTCTTGCTCCTACTCCTGCTTCTACTCCCATTTGGACTCCTGCTAGCACTACGCCTTTTAGGGCTCCTGCTAGGACTACGTCTCTTAGGACTCCTGCTAGCACTGCGTCTTTTGGGACTCCCGCTAACACTAGGTCTTTTAGGACTCCTGCTCCTTCCTTTTCCACGCTGCTCAGAGAAATGTAAAATATATAACAAAATAACCAATAAAAAGGAGAGAATAGCAACCAAGGTCAGATTAGATTTTTGAACATTGACTCAACAAGCTGCACAATTGAACAGAACAGAAACCTTTTCTTACAAAGCTTAAAAAAGGCAGCTTCAATTTTGAACTTTTGACTCAACTATATGTGCAAAATGAACTTACAGAAGGCAAAGGAGATCTGGATCTTGATCGAGATCTGCAAAAGTTCCAGAAAGAACCCAAGTTTAAAATTCAGCATGTTCCTTTTTAACAGCTTTTATGTCCAAGAGCCTTGATGCCCCTTCCACGTCAGAATCACCACATTCACAAGGAATAAAAAGGAGAAATGCATAGATCTTTAGCAGTTAAATAAAGGGGGGGGGGGAAAGACCAACCCACAAACCAGCCTACAAAAGGAATAAAACCCAATCTAGCATAATGAAATCCTTAAAATATAAATTTAAAATTTTAATATTTTGACACCAGCGGATATAGAATGAGCAAGCTTCAGTGCCACCGAAATCCATAGTCAACCCACATAGCATGTCCTATTAGCTTGGGAATAGCTCAAAACTGATTACTTGGAATTCCCAGTGCATTTACTTCACTGAAATCCAGCTCTACTATTGCAATTCCTTGAAAAGAAATCCAGCTCTATTATGTAGTCCATTGACTCCTTTGTTACCAATCTAGCACCCATGGACATTTACGATGCTATGTACATTAGACAAGGGACAGGAGTGAAGGTTTTTAAGCTGCCCATCTAAAAAACAGCATACCTCTGCAACCATACGAGTTGCATGCAATTTGAAACATATTCCCACAAGATCCCAAAATCCAATCCCAGTTTGCTGCAAATATCCATATCTAAAAGACAAACATGGCAATTTTCATGACAAAAGAATACGATGTAATTCAATATCTGGGATGCAGTCCTGACCAAGTTTCACAGACAAGGAAAGCATGCGGCATAAATTCAAGTTGACAACCAAATGACAAGCTGATTCCAAAATGCATGCAGCAAACAAAAAATTACATCATGTTATTAAACTAAATACTCATTTTTCAAAATGAGTTAGTCCAGCACTTAGGCTTCCCAAACAGGCTGCAGCTAATGAATTGCAATTTCCAAATTCATTTCAGAATCCAAAAGTATCATAACCTTGAATTTTCAAAACCTATACTTCTCAAAGACAGGATTCATTTTAAAGAGAATCTTCAAATGCAGCCAAATGTCAACTGCAAGGCCAACAAATCTGAAACATTATCGATGAGGACAAGACCACATGCAAGTAAAGAAATTTCTCAGTCAAACCAATAACAACAAAGGAAAAAAAAAACAGGTACCATTATCCTTGATACAGCAATAAAGAGCAGGAAAAAAGCATGTTAATTGAGAAGTAGAAAGCAAGTGTACCTTGACAAAGAGCGAGACCTTGATGGAGACCGAGAACGAGGAGACCTTGATCTTGACTTTGCAGGTGACTTGCGTGAAGGTTTGGTTCTAGGAGATTTGCTGCATAAAAATTGCAAGGTTAACAAGCAACTTTTTAGCCATTAAATAAAATTTCACATCCCAAAGTATAAGGAAAAACCTGCGGCTCTTGCTCCGACCACGAGAGCGACTGCGGCTTCTTGAGACAGAACGACCACGACTAGGGCTTCTAGAAGAATCTCGCTTAGAATCATATTCCTTAACCTAAAGGCAAAAGGCTTTAGTAAGAAAAATGGAAAATAATAGAAAAAATGTCCAGCGAGTCCTTGAACTATTCCAAAAATTGTCCACATCAGCTTTTATTACATGTGTCACTTACCACATGACTCAACCTGGGAAAATGGCCACATCATCAATGTTAAAGACACTTAATGGTCAACCTTTAAACTTAATGGTTGGCTTAATTGATGATTTTTTCCAGCTGGAGGACTTGTGCAAAAGGTTGCAAGGGGCTTGATTATTTTATAGAATAGTTTGAGGGCTATCTAGACCTTTTTCCAAATTAATGTAAAAAGGGGGAAATAGCTTTAAAAAGGTAAACAAGTAAACTAAGCTTTAGAATCGTATATGTTGGTTGGAAAATTGAATAGTATTCCTTCAGTTTCTCGAAGACTAAGTTGAGATCATATACCCGAACATAAGCCCGAGAAAAGGCATTCCGAAATTCAGAGTCATCTAGTTTCTTGACCTGCAAAAGGAGACGACGAAATGTTATACATAATCATAATTACACAGTGACATTAACTAAATTATGACAAGGTATTCCGTGCAGAACAAGAGTTAAACAAAGAAAGGTAACTTACAGCATACTTCATGTCATCATAGTTGGTGTAATCCACAATCCCTGTTGTCCCTGATAAACAAAAAAGACTTCATCAGCAAGCCTACAGTTATGAAGTTGTTACACTTTCATCTAAGAAAACAGAATAGACTAATTTCATATAAGCAAAAGGATCAGCCAACCAAGAACATCAAACATAGTGTCTTACCACCACCATCGCGAAAAACTTGGGAGAAACAAACATCCCCAGCTCGACGCATGTGATCCTGAGTTAAATACACCACATTCAATATCCTCTATTATGGGTTACTCTTTTTTATTGGATTTGGTGACTGAAAATTAAGCAAAATCAGCTTTTACCTTAAGATCCTGCCATGAAGCAGAAGAAGGCAACCCAGTGACTAACACTGCACATCATAGCAATCCATTGAAAAAAAATCATTAGTAGCCTAAAATACATAGCACAAGAATAAAGGATCAAAAAAAGATAACAAACCACGATATTCAGAACGTTTGGATGGTCCACGTCCACGCCCCCCACCATAACTGCTGTGACGATCTGAGGACGAACGGCCACGACCGCCATGTGCAAGTTCAACCTGCAATTAATCAATAAGAAGATGAGAAGAGAGCTAACAAAGCCAAGTTCAAGACAAAGTGACTACACGCAAAATAAAACCTAAACATGCAAGAAAAGGAAATAACCCGCAAGCGCTGTCCTCCAAAATCATAGCCATCACGACCACGAATAGCATCTTCAGCATCTCGAGCCTCTTCAAACTGGGAAAAAGGTAACATAAAGACAAGAAACAAAGACCCAATAAACAACCCCCACCCTAATAGCCACCTCCACCAAAACATCAGCACATTAACTTACCTCAACAAATGCATAACCTGGAGGTCTTGGTGGAATCTTCAAGTCAATATGGGCTATGGGACCATACTGCAAAAAACAAAAATATAAAGATTTTAAGCTTACAGAAAACTTATTTAAGGCAGGTATATCATGAGATTCACTGAAACCCATATCAAGCAAGCCAAATTCAATCAAAGAAATAACAACAGTTCCACACCAAATTCAATAAAAGAAGCATGTAAGTAAAACACAATCAGAAGTATAGTACCAAAAGTGTAACTACATTTGGGTTTTCCTTACATATCTGTAACCAAGATTAAAGAAGATTTTTTGTTGATCACTCATCTTTACTTGCAGTCTTCACAAATTCATTTCTTAACATTTTAATCTACCCTAAATATCTAATCGTAAGCACAGCATTCAAACCATAAATCCTCAATTTTTGCTTCTTTAAGTTAAAAGTTCAAGATAAGACAAATTGTTTGCTCCTAATCTACTCCCAAACAAGTACTTCACAGTCAAACATCAAAATTAACGTATTTTCTCAGAAGAAAAAGATCCATTTAACCTAAAATAATGAAGACCTGGTGATAAGATTACAAAAAGAAAATAAATTAAAATAACAGGAACGGTGGAATTTTCAAAAGTATAACCTTGTAAAATAAATCCTCCACTTCCCTTTCGCGAACATCACCAGGAAGATTTCCAACATAAAGAGTCCTGCTCGAACGGCTACTCATTTTTCTTTCTCTTCACTGAAAAATACGAAAGACAGACAAAAAGAAATTTCTAGAGAAGTCCTTTACGGTTTAAATAATAAAGGGAAAGATGGATTGGTTTGGGGTTTGAAATACCTGCGATAAGATATGACTTTTCCCCCGAGATGGAGATTCTCGGATACGAGTTTGTTTAGGGTTTTGAAAATTGAAGGAGACGAAGGTTAGCCGAGAAAATAAGAAAAAGATTTGGGTGGGGATAGGGTTACCGTGTAGTGCGTATACAGAAGATTTTGTCGTGAGCTCGCAATCAAGTGGATGGAAATCTCTGCTATGTGCTATCTCAATTGATCTGTCCCGCTGTATTTGTTGAGGGAAAATGCTGACGTATGCTCTTTGAGTTTTCCCAATTGATACCGGAATTAATTAATTAGATTATATAGGATTGATTTTTTTCCTTAAAAATAAAAGTTTACACCTAAAATATTTTTTTATCAAAATAAGTACTTAAAATTTTAATATATGAATATTTTAAATGTAAAAAAACATCATCTAAAAACACACAAATCAATAAAAAAAATTGAGAAATGGTATGTTAAATGCTTATTTACATAAGAATTAAAGAAAAATAAATTAAATGTAAAAAAAACATTGCTCACCTTAGATTAAAATAAGAAAAAACATAGAATCTTATGAAATAAGCAAGTGTTTGCTTTGAATGTGAAAAATAATGGAATTTTACATTTTTTTAATCTATTGATTGCTATGTAATAAAATATTTTTTTTTGAGAAATAATGTTGGATATACATGATACTAAAATATTCTTTATTTTGTTTGTTTGTGGTATTAGATCAGTAGGGTGCCCCACTCTCGCCTTATGTTTTTGTCTTGTGCATGGAGTGCCTTGCTCAATCTATACATGGGGAAATTGATAGGGGTAAATGAAGTCCTTTCAGAACTTCGGCTAGAAGTCTGTCGATCTCTCATCTATTCTTTGTTGATGATATGATCATGTTCGTTGAAGCCTCGATGGACCAATTACATGTTATTCGCAGGGTGTTGGATGAATTTTGTAATGCTTCTGGTCTTAAAGTTAGTATCGCCAAAACTACAATTTACTTTTCTAAGAATATTTATTCCAACATGCGACATAATATTAGTGAAAGTTTTGGATTTACTGAGGTGGATAATCTTGGCAAATATTTGGTTGTCGCTTCCTCATAACCGAGTGACCTCTGCTTCCTACAATTATTTAATTCAGATGGTTTAGCATAAACTTAATGGTTGGAAAGCGCGATGTCTATCACTGGTAGGCTCTAGTTAAAGTTGTGTTTTTCATGATTCCTATTTACACAGTGCAAACTGCGGTTATCCCAAAACGTATATGTATAGAGCTAGAAAGGTTAATTTGCTGATTTGTTTGGGGAGGTAATTCAGATAGAGGCGAGACACATTTAGTTCGATGGGAAGTTCTTTGTCGACCTATATCGGAAGGGGGCCTTGTATTTCGTAATCTTAGTAAGCAAAACGAATCCTTCATTATGAAACTCGCATTCAATATTTTGACGCGTACAAATGACCTTTGGGTGAGATTCATCCGGGTGAAGTATAAATGTATTGATGGCATTCCTATGCTCCTTAAAGAATCCAGTTGTTCTCATTTATGGAAAGGCTTGAGCGTTATTTGGGATGATGTTCGGAAGAATATTGTCTGGTTAATTAGTTTGGGTAAGGATGTTGATTTCTGACGTGACCCCTAGCTTAGAGATATAGGCCTTATAATTAATTATGTTGATGTGTCTATTGTGCCTTACTTTGAAAATGTTTCGATTGCTGGAATGGCTGATGATAGTGGGAATTGGCTTTGGAATCTCTTTGGGCATCTTTTGCCGCATGAAATTTTACTTTGGATTGTTGCTACGAAGGGTTCTTCTTCCTCGATGAGTAACAACACTATTGGATAGCAGGGTAATCATGATTTGAATTTTAACATCAAGTTAGCTTATTCTCTTCGGTATCGTTTTTCTACTACTCAGTCTAACAGTATTAGAAAAATTATTCATAAATTTAGGGGGTTGTCGCATATACGAACTTTTATATCGCTAGTTTGTTGGAATAAACTCATGACTAATGATGAACGTGTCCGACGTCATTTTGCTATGGATTCTAGTTGCAATGTTTGTTGTGCTTGTTGAAAATTCAATATTAGCCTAAATAAGTTCACACCTAAATTAATTTGATGTTATTGCTTACATCAATTTAGTTTTGATGTCATTGCTTACATCAATTTAGTTAGGTGAAAATTAAGTATTTTTCTCATGTTTTAATTTCAATGGTTTAGATTATTTAGTGCTTATTTTAATGAGTGGTTTAGATTGCTTCTTATAACCTATACCCTACTTGTATTTGAGTTTTCATCCAACAATCAAGCTTAATTATAAGCATTTGAAAGCTTTCTTAAGAGTTCTTCCCTTTTGCAATTTTGTGAGATTATTCTAAAGAGAATTTTTCTTCTCGATCAATTAGAGATTTTACTCTATTTTGATTCTACAATTGGTATCCGAGCCACGTTTTTAAGGTCTTTTGAAATTCCAAGTATGCTCTGTGGCTGCAGGTTTTAACTGATTTTCCATATCAGAAAAGATTTCTTGAGATTATTGTCGGGGTTATTACAAATGAGCTTCTTTGTGCTTAGAGTAATTTAGTACTCTGCACGTTTGTTTCTCAAGCTTGTTCGGTGTAGTCAAAGCCTTGCCGTTAAGATGTGTGATCTTCAAGTAGTTGGAGGAATCAAGAAGCTCAACAACAAAAACTACAACACGTGGGCAACATGTATGGAGTCATACTTACAAGGTCAAGACCTTTGGGAGGTTGTTAGTGGTGGTGAAGTTACACAACCGGCGACAGAAGATGCCAATGGCATCTTGCGAAAGTGGAAAATTAAAGCATGCAAAACAATGTTTGCTTTAAAGACCACAATTGAAGAAGAAATGTTGGAGCACATCCGGGATGCTAAAACACCAAAGGAAGCATGGGACACTTTTGTTACACTCTTTTCGAAGAGGAACGATACAAAATTGCAACTTCTCGAGAATGAACTTCTATCAATGGCGCAACGCTACATGGCGGTTGCCTAGCACTTTCACAAGGTGAAGTCGATATGCCACGAAATTTCAGAATTAGATCTGACAGCTGCTATTGGGGAAGCCAGGATAAAAAGAATAATTGTCCATGGTTTGAGACCCGAATATCGAGGGTTTGTTGCCGTTGTACAGGGATGGCCGACACAACCATCGCTTGTTAAGTTCGAAAATTTGCTTGCAGGTCAAGAAGTCATGGCCAAGCAAATGGGAGGAGTCTCGATGAAGGGTGAAGAGGAAGTGCTCTACACCAGCAAAAGCATAGGCACTTTTCAGCGGTATACTGATAGTGGATCTAAAAAGGATGGTGACAAGGTGAAAAATTACCAAGGAAATGGAGGCCCTCATTCAGGGGGAGCATCCAAGAATCACGGTAATAGTAGAAAGTTCGATGGCAAGTGTTACAACTGCGGGAAGATGGGTCACATGGCAAAAGACTGTTGGACCAAGAAAAAGCATGTTGAAAGTAATACTGCTACTTCCAGTTCGAAGGAGAATAGTGAAGATGGTTGGGATGCTGAAGCGTTATTTGCTACGGAGGAAGAAGAATTAGCTCTCACGGTAACAACACCAGAACGGATTGACTACAAGAATGACTGATTGTAGATTCGGGCTCAAATATGACGGGTGACAGAAGTTACAAAACCTGTCTGAGTACAATGGAGGTCGTGTGGTGGTGACAACTGACAACTCAAGGTTACCGATAACTCATATCGGTAACACGATATTTACGCCTCGATATAATACTAACCAGGTGCAACTTCAAGATGTTTATCATGTCCCAGGAATGAAGAAAAATTTGCTATCTGTGGCTTAACTAACATCATCAGGCCATTATGTCTTATTTGGTCCCCAAGATGTGAAGGTTTATCGTGATGTCAAAATCTCAAAAACACCAACAATGGAGGGACGACGTTTGGAGTCAATTTACGTGATGTCAGCAGAGTCTGTATATGTAGACAGGACAAGAAAAAATGAGACATCAGATCTATGGAACATGCGGTTTCACGTTATTCCAAACTAAGTGTGATGGTCGAGCTTAAGGGGCTTCACTAGACATGAGAACAGACACGGTCTGTGCGGGATGCCAGTATGGTAAAGCACACCAATTACCATATGGCGAGTCGAAGTTTAAAGCAAAAGAACCGTTGGAGTTGGTTTACTCTGATGTGTTTGGACCAGTTAAGCAATAATCAATTAGCGGTTTGCAGTACATGGTAACATTCATTGATGATTTCTCCACGTATGTGTGGGTTTTCTTTATGAAAGAAAAATCTGACACATTCTCAAAGTTTAAAAAGTTCAGAGACTCAGCTGAAGGAGAAGTGGGAAAGAAGATATGTTGCTTGCGCACAGACAACGTAGGAGAATATAGATCAAATGAGTTCTCTCAATACCTAAGGGAATGTCGAATACGTCATCAGTACACTTGTGACAACACGCCACAACAGAATGGTGTAGCAGAAAGAAAAAACCGGCATCTTGCAGAAATTTGTCGAAGTATGCTACATACAAAGAACGTACCTGGAAGGTTTTGGGCTGAAGCAATGAGGATTGCAGCCTTTGTGATCAACAGACTTCCTCAACCATGGTTAGAATTTGTTTCACCCTTTGAGAAACTATGGAGCATAAAATCTACAGTTAGTTACTTTCGAGTATTTGGCTGTATATGTTATGTGTTTGTTCCTGGTCATTTATAGAGCAAATTTGACAAGAAAGTTGTTAGATGTATCTTTGTGGGATATGACAGCCAGAGAAAGGTGGAAATGTTGTGATCCATTAATGGAAGATGCTACACGTCAAGAAATGTGGTATTTGATGAAGCATCTTCTTGGTGGTCCTCAAAGAAGGAGGTGTTGCCAGATTCGAGAGAATTTGGAGACAAGCTACAACAATAGATGGGGGAGCATATTGTTCAACTCCAAACAAGTTTAGATAAATCAGAAGATCCAAATGACGATGACATCGAATAAAGAGTGACTCAGAATCCTTGGCAAACTAGCATGTATCAACAACCAAATGAAGAAAGTGGGCCTAGTGAAACAGAAGTATCAATTCCACAATCTCAACTCCGAAGGTCAACAAGAATACGA